CTGAATGATATGGACCGGTAAAGAGTTCCAGCTGACCATGACTGTTTTCTGTCTCATATTTGATTTAGATTTGGGTAATACGAACCTTCCTTCTATTGCATGTCGTGTTTGATAGTTATGTTGAGCATACTATAAACCTTTGTGGTAATACTGTATATGTGGTAAGTGAGTCACTGTAATATTTCTGACAAAATGTAACAAAATATAAGTTGACCTCTGTCTGACACTCTCCAGCAGTTCAGTTACTCTGGTTATGTACATCGTGCTGCCTTGTTTTGTGCTACTTGTAGTTTGTTGCTTGCTACTCTAAAGCACATGTGTCAAACTCAAGGCCCGGGGGCCAAATCAGGCCCTTGGTGGATTTAATTTCGGCCCGCAGGATAATTTTAAATGACTATTAGATCTGGCCCGCCGGTATATTGCACGCACACCTTCACTCCATCCTGAGGGTCTCCTCAGCTCAGAGCCTGAGCCCAAACATTGATGACCTTGCACCCAAGATGAGATGCCAAGTATCTGAACTAGCATCACAGAGCAGCACACTGAGTTTACATGTTTCCTTCTGCACTTTTTCTCTCACGACAACAGGGCATGCTTGGTTTGTTCTTTGAGGGAAATAGTTTTCTTGAAGCTGTTGTTGGCCTGTGGAGAAATGTAATCATAAGAAATGACTCTGGAAAAGCTGCAGATAGAGCCATAAGAAATGAATGCAACTGATTATTTAATGTTTAATGTTGTTTTTATAGGCAATAATTGAAGCTTTGTTAGTTCCAGGTTTAATATGTGCAATAACTTCATTTCAATAAGTTTTGCAATAAACATTGAACCAGTCCGGCCCTCGACTAGTACCCATTTTTTAATTTTGGCCCACTGTGTATTTGAGTTTGACCCCCCTGCTCTAGAGGATGTAGTAAACACACGCTAACTGACAGACACTATCACCAGGCAGAAGCTGTACTGAGTGTTGTTTACGGGAGCAAAGAGTAGATTGGCAGCACATAAAGGGAGAGGAAATGTCCAAATACATATGAAATTTGAACAAATGTAAACAAACAACTGGGCTGGGTAACTGGTTCATCTGAGTCCTGTTAGCCTGCACATGTTGTACTCAAATACAATCTGCTTTATTGTTATCATAGGAACTCAGATAGAATGATAATGGATGCTATAATCAATATAATAAATAACAACATAGTGTAAAAACCATGTTGGCGCAATCAATACATTCACCACAGTTGAAATCATTACATAACTACAGTTGACATTATTACATAACTGCAGTATGTAGGGCATTTTTGCTCTGCCCTCATTTGATGAGAACAAAAATAATGATCTGTAATCACAATTATTCTCTGAAAAAGACATTTGAGAGTTCTTTGTATCCCAGGGACATCTCGAGCCCTTCTCCTTCACTTAATGGATGAGATGTGGACCTTTTAGTCGATGTCAGAACAACCTGACATCAGAGTGTCAGTCTGACTCGAAGGTCATAGAGCACCATTTAAGTGTGATTACCTGATATATTGATCTGCTTCAACCTCAGTGATGGCTGTTCAACTGGGGATAACATTCAGATTCCAAATGTATTATTTGTAGTACATTACATATTCTCCTTTACCCTCGTTAAAAGATCATCCAGTGTCTTGTCCTGTTCAATCATTTATAAAGTTACCTGACACATGTCTCGTAGTTGTCCCAACGGAGGTCGATATGTTCCACATTTATTTAACTTCAAAGCACTTTCTAACTTCTTGTGATGTGACAAATCCCTGCTCCTATGCAGAGGTGTAAAGTAACTAAGTACATTTACTCAAGTACTGTACTTAAGTACATTTTGAGATACTTGTACTTTAATTGAGTATTTATTTTGCATGCTACTTTGTACTTCTACCCCATTACAGTTCAGAGGTACATGGTGTACTTTTACTCCACTACATGTATTAATACCTTTAGTTACTTCACAGATGTGGATGAATGATGTGAAATATAATCAAGTGTTAAATCAGACTTTAGTTCCACCTGGAGTAAATCCACAAGCTACCCTGCAGTATACAAAGTCATTCAAACTAGCTGCTCCTTTACCAGCTTTGAGAACACTTTAATGATCAATCATTATAAAACATATCATATATATTATTCTGAAATGGACCAATCTGCACAATGACTACTTTTACTGTCGCTACCTAACCCTAACTATACTTTGATGAGAATACTTTTCTACTTTCACTTGAGGAACATTTTGAATGCAGGACTTTTACTGTAACAGAGTATTCCTACACTCTGGTACTTCTACTTTTACTCAAGTACAAGATCTGAGTACTTCTACTTTTACTCAAGTACAAGATCTGAGTACTTCTACTTTTACTCAAGTACCAGATCTGAGTACTTCTACTTTTACTCAAGTACCAGATCTGAGTACTTCTACTTTTACTCAAGTACAAGATCTGAGTACTTTTACTCAAGTACAAGATCTGAGTACTTCTACTTTTACTCAAGTACAAGACCTGAGTACTTCTACTTTTACTAAGTACAACATCTGAGTACTTTTACTCAAGTACAAGATCTGAGTACTTCTACTTTTACTCAAGTACAAGATCTGAGTACTTCTACTTTTACTCAAGTACCAGATCTGAGTACTTCTACTTTTACTCAAGTACCAGATCTGAGTACTTCTACTTTTACTCAAGTACAAGATCTGAGTACTTCTACTTTTACTCAAGTACAAGACCTGAGTACTTCTACTTTTACTAAGTACAATATCTGAGTACTTTTACTCAAGTACAAGATCTGAGTACTTCTACTTTTACTCAAGTACAAGATCTGAGTACTTCTACTTTTACTCAAGTACCAGATCTGAGTACTTCTACTTTTACTCAAGTACCAGATCTGAGTACTTCTACTTTTACTCAAGTACAAGATCTGAGTACTTCTACTTTTACTCAAGTACCAGATCTGAGTACTTCTACTTTTACTAAGTACAATATCTGAGTACTTTTACTCAAGTACAAGATCTGAGTACTTCTACTTTTACTCAAGTACAAGATCTGAGTACTTCTACTTTTACTCAAGTACCAGATCTTGAGTACTTCTACTTTTACTCAAGTACCAGATCTGAGTACTTCTACTTTTACTCAAGTACAATATCTGAGTACTTCTACTTTTACTCAAGTACAAGACCTGAGTACTTCTACTTTTACTAAGTACAATATCTGAGTACTTTTACTCAAGTACAAGATCTGAGTACTTCTACTTTTACTCAAGTACCAGATCTGAGTACTTCTACTTTTACTCAAGTACCAGATCTGAGTACTTCTACTTTTACTCAAGTACAAGATCTGAGTACTTCTACTTTTACTCAAGTACCAGATCTGAGTACTTCTACTTTTACTCAAGTACAAGATCTGAGTACTTCTACTTTTACTCAAGTACCAGATCTGAGTACTTCTACTTTTACTCAAGTACAAGATCTGAGTACTTCTACTTTTACTCAAGTACAAGATCTGAGTACTTCTACTTTTACTCAAGTACAAGATCTGAGTACTTCTACTTTTACTCAAGTACCAGATCTGAGTACTTCTACTTTTACTCAAGTACAAGATCTGAGTACTTCTACTTTTACTCAAGTACCAGATCTGAGTACTTCTACTTTTACTCAAGTACCAGATCTGAGTACTTCTACTTTTACTGAAGTACAAGATCTGAGTACTTCTACTTTTACTCAAGTACCAGATCTGAGTACTTCTACTTTTACTCAAGTACCAGATCTGAGTACTTCTACTTTTACTCAAGTACCAGATCTGAGTACTTCTACTTTTACTCAAGTACAAGATCTGAGTACTTCTACTTTTACTCAAGTACAAGATCTGAGTACTTCTACTTTTACTCAAGTACAAGATCTGAGTACTTCTACTTTTACTCAAGTACACAGATCTGAGTACTTCTACTTTTACTCAAGTACCAGATCTGAGTACTTCTACTTTTACTCAAGTACACAGATCTGAGTACTTCTACTTTTACTCAAGTACCAGATCTGAGTACTTCTACTTTTACTCAAGTACCAGATCTGAGTACTTCTACTTTTACTCAAGTACCAGATCTGAGTACTTCTACTTTTACTCAAGTACCAGATCTGAGTACTTCTACTTTTACTCAAGTACAAGATCTGAGTACTTCTACTTTTACTCAAGTACAAGATCTGAGTACTTCTACTTTTACTCAAGTACCAGATCTGAGTACTTCTACTTTTACTCAAGCACCAGATCTGAGTACTCCTCCCACCTCCGCTCCTATGTACGTTCAATCTTGCGACTGACATAATTTCCAATGACGCTCAAACACCCCTAAACACAAATCTGTAACATAAATAACTAACGAAGAACATTTACTCAAGTAGGCTACTGTTCTGAAGTACATTTATGAGGTACTGATAATTACTGGCTACTTGTTTTCAGGTTCATATTATTAATACAAAAATGAAATAAACTAAAACATTATGATTGGCAATATTACAATTAATGAACGATATTTCATCCTTAACCAACGGCAGAATTAAAACGATGAACACATTAATGCATCACTAATTATAATCCTGTATAACATGTATTATTCCAAAAATGGCCACTTTGGATAACGAGTACCTTTATATTAAGTATATTTTGATGCTTATACTTTTGTACCTTTACTAAAGTATCATTTTGAATGCTTTTAATTGTATTCCTACAGTGTGGTATTTTACTTTTACTGAAGTATAACATCTGAGTACTTCTTGAAACACTGCATACACTCAAATCTCTCTCTCCCTCTCCCTATGTCTCGCGCGGTGCCACAGAAGGACGCGAGGGCACACATGCACGCGCACACGGCCACAGCGCGTCCATTGTTATTGACAAAGCAATCTGTCCAATCAGAGGAGGAGGACTCACCTTCGAACAGCTGCCTAGCCAATGGGGACGCGAGGGGAGGCGGCTTGTATGCAAATGTGTTGGCAGGGGAGACGCAGCGGTTCATTCATCTTATCCAGAGAGAGAGGTGAGTTAACACGAAGGTTATTCTACATGAGGGAGGGAGATCTGGACCAAAGCACAGCTGCAAAACAACCGAGAGGCTTTTATTTGTAGCAGTTTATTCGATTTCCAATCATCACAGGGTAAGTGGAAATCGTGTTTGTTATTTGCTCTTATCTGTTAATGTGTACATGTTAAAACAATGTGTCATAGATTACCTGACTTTAATTCCTAACTAAGAGAAACAATAAGTGATGAGACAGGAAGCCATGGATATTATTTTACTGGTCTGTTATCAGAGGTGTCTCTCCAGGAAGGGGGGATCCTTTAACCCTCTCAGTGTTACACTTATTATTTAATTATATTGTCTTATTTAGCTGTAAAGGGTTTCAATGTCTTGTACAAGGACACTCAGGGCTATACAGTCATTAAACCTGGGGTCATAGTCTGCTGTCGTCAGGATCAGAAATCCTTTTATAGTCCCACAGAGGGAGAATAAGCAGTGTGACAGCAAGGGGACAGTGCAGATATAAAGGGGAAATAAAGTTAGAAGAATATAACATATTAGATAAAGAGATAGGCATGTGTAAATACAACTAAAATGAAAATAAGTACACAACAATGGTTAAAAAACATGAAGAAAGCGGCACTTTTTTGACCATACAGTACGTGCCATGATGGAGCCACCGTGATCATGCTTGTGTTGTGCTGGTATGTGAAACATGTGGTGAGTCATTTGTAGAGCGCTATACATCCCAGATGGATGCATCAACTGTGTTTTTTCAGCATGGATCTGAAAAAATGCAGCCAGGGAAGTCAGTGCCATAATGTCCTTCATGCTCTGGGAGCAATCAAAGGATGAAGAAAAAAAAAAAAAGGCTACCTGTGTGTCGCACCATTGAAGTGGACTCTAGCTTTCTGTTCTGGACATAACAAGCATTTGAAATGAATGAAATGTGTGTTTATGTGTGCATGCCTGTGCTTCAGGGTCTAAAGGACAAGTGGAGAGTGCAGTCCTCCGCCACGGCCGTGAAGGTGAAACATAATGCGTTTATCCGCCCATGTGACTCAGATATACTCTCAAATGTAATGTGTTCGTTCTTGGTCCATGCTACAGCTCTCCACTAAGTTTCATGACAATTGAGCAAGTCGTTTAGTCGTAATCCTGCAGACCAACAAACTGCGCCCAAATCATCCTTTGCACATAGATCTAGGGTTAGTGAGGATTTGTGGAAAAGAAGCTTGTGGCTGCACTCAAATGTTGAGAGGAAACGGAGAGGAAAACATCAGGCTGCACAAGTGGTCTGTTTGCATCTGCATAATCCAGTCCACTGTGACTGACACCAGGTCGGCACAATCAATAGCACCAGCTTCACTGTGTGTGAGCGCGTCCACATCACTGGTTGCCTTCAGGCGGCTGTGCATCAAAGGGTCAGAGCAGATGAGTTATTGCATCATAGAAACTGACCGTGTGTGTGTGTGTGTGGGCACCTTGCTGGGTCTATACATATAGTGCAATGATTGTGTTCATATGCAAAACAAATGAGCAAAGCATCGCTCCATGATAGTTGGGCATCCATGACGCTTTGGCAGACGATGGGTGGCAGGATGCACATTGTTAAGTATTGTTATTTAAAACTGAGTCCATAGGTGATATAGACTATCAATACAGAATAGAGTTGCATGATACTAGAACAAATTGCATATTTATTTATTTTCCACAATGGATATTCTGTCTCTGATATGTGTCCCAAAAATGGACAGATAGTTTGTTTGACTTAGTTGCTCCAGACTTAGTTCTTCCCAAGGAGCGTGGCAGAGAGTCACTTTAGGCCCACTGGGCTTAATGTGTTGGAGTTAATTTGCCAACGTGACATCACACATCAGGCAATGTGAGTATAGCACATTGTAATGTTCATGCTTAAACATCAGCAGCCTAAATGCAGATATAAAACCGTGTTAAAGCAGTGTGATGGTTTGAAGTCTTGGCTTTTCACTAGGCTAAAGCATACAGGTGATGCTGTTGTGATTCATTTAATCCTCCAGAGAGTTTTTTCCCCACCTCTTCCTCCCAAACAAACATCACACTCTCACCTGTTGGGCTATTTTTATATCTTCTGTTTTAATATCTCTAAAGGCCCAATTAATAATGGTTTTCTGCATTTACATTGGGTTGATAACAAATATACAATATGTGTGTTTCTAAGCATCAGATAGATAGGTAGGTAGGTAGGTAGGTAGGTAGGTAGGTAGGTAGGTAGGTAGGTAGGTAGGTAGGTAGGTAGGTAGGTAGGTAGGAGGGTAGGTAGGTAGGAGGGTAGGTAGGTAGGTAGGTAGGAGGGTAGGTAGGTAGGTAGGTAGGTGTAGGTAGGTAGGTAGGTAGGTAGGTAGGTAGGTAGGTAGGTAGGTAGGTAGGTAGGTAGGTACTGTAGGTAGGTACTGTAGGTAGGTAGGTAGGTAGGTAGGTAGGTAGGTAGGTAGATAGAATAAATTAGCATTAAAAGTCAAGTTAAGAAATATATATTTGCAGAAACACACATTTCCAGTAACAAATATAATGCAGGATATTATTATTGTGCAAGAAATAACATCAGGCCTGATTCCAAGCTCCTTAAAACCTTTAGTGCACCACTATACCCGCCATTAAAGGTAGGGTAGGTAAGGTTGAGAAACCGGCTCGAGATACACTTGTTGTTATATTCCATGGAATGCTCTTAACATCCTGATAGCAATGAATATCTGAAGTGCTTTGACAAAAAATCCATAAATAAATATCATCTGTGGAAGCTGTAGTACTGTAAAAAGCACGACCAATCATCTGAGCCGGCCCGGCTAAAATAACTGGATGGCCTACCTGCCTGTCAGCCTTCCATCTGTGCACAAACTTATCTCGTGCCCTCATTGGTCATGTGCGCGTTCGTGTGTGTTGGAGGAGGGGCTCTGTGAGGAAGTGGCAGATTTTCTCCGGTTGTGTATTTTCAAATTCTAGCGCACTCGAGCCGGTTTCTCCAAAATGACCGACCCCACCTTTAAGTGATAATCCAAATAAAGACTGAGGTTTCACTATTTTTATTATTTTATGTCAACACTCCCATTGCTATTTCCATTTGATTTCCTCTCAAAACAGTTCATTATATTGTATATTCCTAATTCATCTCAACAGTATGGTGGCAGAAGTAGAGTGGCTTGTATACTAGCTCTAAAGCCTGTTACAACTCACCACAAAAACACTTCTACCACTGTGTCTTTGCAGGGATGCTCGACACAGCCACAGCACCGTGTTATTTACAATAGGAGGTTGAAAGATATTACGGTTACACTTAACAGCAGATCACTAGATGGTAAAACAGCTACTTCCTCTCTCCTGGAAAGACCCATTGATCCATATTTTGAGTACAATAACATCACCTATGAGCAACATGTTACACTACAATTCCTGTCTGTCTTTGCATGTGTGTGTGGTTTGTTTTGAGTCCCTTTCTTTTTCATTTTAGATGAAAGATGCTATGACACACACACACACACACACACACACACACACACACACACACACACACACACACACACACACACACACACACACACACACACACACACACACACACACGCTTTTTGTATCTCTTTCCCTCCCTTTGTAGCACCTCCATTCTGTGGTAAGCCAGGTGTGCTATGCATCTGTTTCATGCATCAGTAGCCCATTGTGTGCGTGTGACTGCGTGTGTGTGTGTGTGTGTGTGTGTGTGTGTGTGTGTGTGTGTGTGTGTGTGTGTGTGTGTGTGTGTGTGTGTGTGTGTGTGTGTGTGTAGCATGTGTGTGTCACTTGACTGATTGATTCAGCTATTCCCATCACATGCTTTATTACCCAGGGAGACAGATGTTGGAATATGAGGATAGATAGACAATGTGTGTGTGTGTGTGTGTGTGTGTGTGTGTGTGTGTGTGTGTGTGTGTGTGTGTGTGTGTGTGTGTGTGTGTGTGTGTGTGTGTGTGTGTGTGTGTGTGTGTGTGTGTGTGTGTGTGTGTGTGTGTGTGTGTGTGTGTGTGAGCCCATGGACCAGCTGATATGGGTTGATCAACAAAGCAGTGTTGAGTGAAGGAGTTTGGCATTATCATCGGACGCCGTTGATAGAGAGTCCTCCAGTGGAATGACAACAACACAATATAGTTAAATAGGAAGGTCGCGTACACCAGAAACTGTGGAGAGGGACTAATATTTGTAAATTGTTTCATCTATTAGTCATATTTTGGCTTTAAAATACATTTCCAAGAATGATTAGATGGAGAAACATGTTGAAGACGACACATTCTGCTCTTTTTAAGGGATATATTAGTTCGTGTCTCCATGCTTTAATGTTCAAAAAGCTCTTTATTTTCTCATACTGCCTGTGCTGCAGCACCTCTTTTCACCCTCTGTCTGAAACCAGAGGCCAGTCTGCTCTGATTGGTTAGCTGGCCGGCTCTGTTGTGATACAGCTGAATTGAAATGGTTTCCTCTCACAGTGTAAAGGGAAATGATGATACTGAAATGTTCCATAGGTGTGAATGTGGGTGTGAATGCCTTGGTCTGTCAGCCTTGTGAGAGACTGACAACCTGTCAGGTGATACCCTGCCTCAAGCCCAATGCATGCTGGGAAAGACTACTCTGAGTCACATGCATCTTGAGAACAATTGGTAGATAATTGGACGCTCATGGAGTCAATTACACATGTTTAGTTGAGTGCTTCCAATGCTTTCACTGGATATGTGATTACAATGGTTGGAAAAGTCAATGATTGATGGATTTTTGCCATTTTGAGTGCAGCGTTTCACTCCATGACACATAGAGTGGAGGAAATAAGTATTTGATCCCCTGCCGATTTTGTAAGTTCACCCACTTACAAAGAAATGAACAGTGTATCATTTTAAAGGTAGGTTTATTTTAACAGTGAGAGTAAGAATATCAAAAATAATACAAATACCTATTTCCCACAGTTAAATGCAAATCAATGTGTCTCTTTTATATAATGTATATTTCTTTTTGATATTCTTACTCTGTTAAAATAAACCTACCATTACAAAGAAAGACTGTTCATTTCTTTGTAAGTGGGCAAACTTACAAAATCTGCAAGGGATCAAATACTTCTTTCCTCCACTGTATATGAAA